CTGTTGGCGTGAGATGTGCAGAACACCTGAAACATCTATAGAGATAGTGCATAGCCTTGTGGACAGAGTGATTCTGGGAACGGGGTTCCATACTAGGACGGTGAAAAGTACCCTGAAATAAGGTAGCAGAAGGGCTTTGAAGCTGAAAGCACTAAGAACACGCTTGAAAGTTTATGATTATGAGTTATTTCTGGTTACAGAAAGAACACAGCCTGAAAGTCTGACTTCAAGCACGGGACACTGGATAAACCCTATTCCCTCCCCTCCAGTCCATGTGATGATCACTGTCCCACAGGCCTCGGCAGAGCCAGGGATGAGATGATTGGGCAGCCCAGTGCTGTTCTTTAACCAGAGCCCATTCTGCTGACGATGAATGGCTGTGGGGGGTCACACGGTACATTTTCTTACTGAGGATCTTCCCCAGTCAAATCGCTGGTGACTCGGTGAGAGTCTACCATCTATAGACCACGTCCCACACCTGAGAGTTGCTGAAGAACTAGGCAGTGTAGGGATAGAGCGAGGGGGGACAGTGGTGGCTCTCCCCTGACCCGTGGCCATTGAAAGATGATAAATCCTGTAATGGAGCTCCCCTTCATTTTTGTATCTGGTTTGTTAGTTTGTTAGTTTGTTTGTTTGTTTGTTGAATGGCTCCACTCCTTCATGGACCAAGGAGCACATGTGAGTCAACCTGTGTCAACCGGTCACCTCCATCTACCTGAGAGCCCCGTGTCCCCACCAAGGAGGCTCCAGACAAGAGCAATGTACTGACATTTTCTCTGTTTCCTCCCTGACTCTCTGAAGATCCTGGTGGAGATGGCTTCCTGTGAGGAGGAGGGCCTGTCTATTATGAAGGTAAAGCCGCCCTTGTTTGCGACAGATGTGTTATTCAGTTGGCTTTCTGTCTTTGTTAACCGGCTTCAAGCCTGGCACTATACACAATACACGGGACCTGCAGAGTTGCCTTTGTGGAGGACTGTACGGTGCAAGTGTGCTGCCGACAGATGCCCGGTTGTTCTCACACCGGACACCACCCATTACCAACCTAGCTGAGCAAGCATTTTCCTCTGCATGCCCTTTTCTGCTTGAGAAAGAATTTTGTACGAGCCACCCACCTCGGACTTGAGGGTGCTCTCATACACTGCACCCAGCATTTCCCTAAACACTCTCTGTGCGTCCCTTGGCGGGGAAGGGTCACACCGTTTGTCACCTTTTCCATCTAGCTCTGGTGTAACTGCTGTGACTAACAGAACTGTGGCAACAGGACTCACTCGCCTTATGCTGGCTCCCCCTAGTGCTTTATTACCGTAACGTGGGTGTTCTTCCGGGTCTTCCAAGCTGCCCTTAGGTCTTGCTGGACTCCCATTCAAACCCAGCGTTCTGTAAGGATGAGCTATGCTTCACGGTTGCCGTTTTTTTCTTTCTTTCTTTTTTTTTTTTTTTCGAGGCAGGGTTTCTCTGTGTGTAGTCCTGGTTGTCCTGGAACTCACTCTGTAGACCAGGCTAGCCTCAAACTCTCAAACTCAGAGATCCGCCTGCCTCTGCCTCCCAAGTGCTGGGATTAAAGGCGTGTGCCACCACCGCCCAGCATGGTCGCTGTTTCTAAACAAGCCAAAGCTTCATCCGAGTGAGAACGTCACCCCTCTGCGCCCTCTTGAGCCGTTAGACTGAGGGCCCTCCATTCAACAGGCGCCTTATTCACACGCCTTTTTGCAAAAGCCACAAAGTTCCTTTTCCGTGACCCATCTTCAGCATGAATCCTAAGCTGAATGTTCCCCTGGAATAAGGCCTTGCCCCAGGCAGCAATGGCACCAAATTCTGGTAGGAATCTGAGACTGGAGAATGAGCATGAAGGTTGGTTCTTAGACGGAGAGCTAGCTCCAGCTAGGGTACCACAGGCTGGGGGGTGGGGGGCAGAATTTTCCAGAAGGCACAGTATCTTATCTCAGGTAAATGCCATGTGTTGAGTGCATCTACTGCTCTGAGAACATCCTGAGTACAGAACAGAAAGTGCTCACCGGCTTCCAGATGCCTACCATGTGGTCCTGATGTTGACACTGTTGAGGTATTTTCTGTTCCAGAAACACATGACATTTACCTGAGATATGATACTGCTCTTTCCGAGAAACTCTGCCCGTCAGCCTGTGGTGCCCTAGCTGGAGCTAGCTGTCCATCTGGGCTCCTAGCAGGCTCAGAGGATGGGAGTGGTCCCTGAAATCAACACGCCTCCATTCTGCCCCCGATATTTTTATTGATTCTGCACACTGTGCCCACCGGAAAACCGTAGCTGAGTTTTGATGCGAACATCACTAAATTAGAACCCCCGGTACCTCAGGGAAAAGCTAGCCTTGTGCACGTACCCAGGGGTTAGGAGGGGATTTGAAAGTATGGGAACAGCCCAGAACAGGCGAACAACTCTAGCAGAACGCCAGGTAATGGACAGGTAAGTTTTTCTCATTGCTGGACTTTCTGGGTCTTTGCAATACCGCAGCTACTACAAAAAAAAATGCTATGTATATTAGTATATTATATTGCTTTAGGTAAGAGTAACCATTCAGAACTTAGTCTGCTACCCACCTTTCACGTCCCAGGTTGTTCCTGGTGCAGAGGACACTGTGTCCCCCTCTCCCGAGCTGCTGCTCTGAGACGGACCCAGCTCTGTTTATCAAACCCACAGCTGGATTTCTCGCTTATCAGATGTGGAGGCAGCAGCAATCCCGGGCCACTGAAGAAGCAAACTGAGGGTTGAATGTTTCAACTCCCCGGTCCCACTCGAAGGCTTGCAATGATTGCCCTCTGTATGGTTGAAGGCTCCCAAGTCTTCAGAGCCCAGGAAGCACCTGAGAGTCCAGGGGCAGGGAAGAGCAGGGTAATCACTACGATAGTCTGCTTTCTCTGACATAACAAAATGCCTCTTGAGGGGACTTTATAAACTAGAGGGAAATTTAGGTCATGATTTGGGGAGTTCAGGAGCACACCGTGGACATGTGCTTAGATTTCATGACGACTCCCGGGTCATTACGACATACATGAGAGGGACATTCATGAGAGGGAGATTCCATAGCAATAAAGTAAGCGCACAGGATTGAGAGAACTGGTTTGCTCCTTTTGTTTAAGGATGCTAACCAAGGTCTGAGGAAAGTACACCAAACCCATCATAGATAGGGCAGTGTCTCCAGTATCCTAGTTACCTCCCACTAAGCTCTTCCAGTTGCCACACATAGGGGTCCACACCTCCAGCCTCTGAATATTGCTGGTTAGAGCACGCCTAGACCACAGCACCCACCATGAACTCAACAGCCATGGAAGGAACGGGCAGGGCTCTCTCCACTAACGCTCTTTCTGATGTTTATGTCCCCGAAGATCAGTGTGTGCACAGACCCTGGATCTGAAGCCACGAGCATGGAGATACTACAGGTAGAGAAATTCCTTGGGGGTGGGACCCTGTGGGCAAGGTTTCCTGAGGTGGGGGGGGGGGGTTGGGCACACCCAGTGCTCTGAGACTAAGACCGAGAATATAGGCTAGAGGCATACAGGAACGATTTTTCTTTTTCCTGCCATTACTTTACTGACATGTGAGCCGTGGGCCTCTGACATCAAGCATACCATTAGTAAACCTTATTTAGTTAAAGATAGCCCTCCCCACCAGCCCTGCTGGTCTTGGTTCAGACTGTGCCACCGATCACGATCACGGCTTTTTGAGTGTTGATCGGGTTGACACTCCTCCCTCGGGAACTCTGTACAATTTGCATCTGGATTCCGGTCTTCTCTGTTGACCCAGCATGGGGCAGATCTAGTGGGGAGGGCCTTGCTCACAGGTGGCAGTTGGCCATAGAGGTGACTTGTGACCCAGGCGGAGGGTGAACGGTCAACACCCCTAGCATTTGAAAGGATCCCCCACGTCCTCTGCTCCGGAGTCTCTGTCCACTCACGGTTTAAAGAGCAGTGTCACAGGAGGAGAGTCCTGCGTAGATCTCGGCTTTTTTTGGAGCAGCAGAAACACTTCCTCGGTTGTTATTTCCTGTTGTTATTATTCTTCCCGGGACTAGTAATAATACCCAAAGCTAGCCCGCGCTGAGATGCCTTTGCAGCCACCCAATCATAGAGGATAGCCTGCCTCATCTCTGGGAGTCAAACAAAGATCAGCCAGGGGGTTTCTAGGTGACAGGTCATAGTGGTTTCTGCTTTACCCAGCCCCACTCCTCCAGACAGATGACACCGTCTGCCTTTCCTGTCCTCAGACTGCTCGTTGCTATGACAGCTGGCTCTTCCATGGCTCAGTGCAAACACCACCAGGCCCCTTCTCTCCGGGTCCCTCCATCAACATCCCCCTCCTGTAGGATATAATTACAATGCTGGGGACTTGCACAAGGTTGGCGTCACCCCCTCGACTCGTTCTCAATATTGTCTACCTACCCAACCATTGCGAAGGTTCACCGCCTTCCCAGTCAGTCCCTCACCTCATCCCACGCTCGAAAGCCTCCCTCAGTATGCAGTTTGGTTGTAAATGTCTCCCACAAGACACGACAGACCCCTAGTCCCTTAACGGGTCTTGAGGTTTTGGGTGGAAAGCTGGTGAGCTGAGTGAGTGTGTGAGTGAGCGAGCAAATGGGGCAGCCCTGGTCTCTCCGGCAATGTCTCCACATTGGAGGAACCCTTGTGAGTGGGCACCAACACACACTGACATGCAAAAGGAAGCAAGACAGGGCAAGACAAGCAGTTTGAGAGAGAGCAGGAGGGAGGGAGGGAGAGATTGATTCACAGAGACCTTGGCTGAGTCCTGCAAGGCCAGGGAGACACAGGCCATGCCCTGGTGAACACAGTGTGCGCTCTGTCTGGGCTGGAGAAACACCCTGGATTCCGGCCACCATCCCCAGTGCACAAGCAAGGTGACCGAGGCTCTAACACAAGACTAGGGATTCAAGGAAGAACTGAGTTCTGCGCCTGGGCTCCGAGACACCAGGGGCAGCGGGGGACATGAACCCTGTCCTCCTTCTCCCAAGGCCACGCCACCATGGTCTCTGTCCTGGTATATCCAGAAGTATGTGTCATGGATTCTGAGGATTAGGAAAGAGAGAACAGAAACTGGTATGTAAATCATTGTCTCCCCTTACGTCTTTTCAGTTTTAGAATTTTTGTTTGGTCTCTATCATTGTTGGCATTTATCATTCCATTTTTATAGAAGTATCCCAGGTACCACCCAAGCCTAGCTTGTCCCCTTTCTCTTCCCACATGGTCTGCTGTATACTTTCATAACGCACGCACACACGCATGCACGCACGCACGCACGCACGCACGTGCGGGCACACACCACATAGTAGCTCACATACAAATATGACTGGGGAATAATTCTTTAAATTGCATTTGAAGTGAATTGTATACTTCAGTGGATTCTATTTCAAATAAGATTTCCTTCAGATATCTTTACTGAAAAAAAAAAAAAAAAAAAAAAACCTTTGGTCGTACTTCACGATTCCTATAACAAAGCATAAAGCTGTAGGTCCCAGAGAGAGAATAGCATGTTTTGAGATTTTAGAAAGTACAAGGGCAGGGAGCATCGCAACGCCTAGCTTCAGACAGTATCAGAGAGCCAGAGAGCCAAAGAGAACATAAGGAAGGAGCAAAAATGCAGCGAGACTAACGGAACGGAGGAGGAGGTCTGAAACCAACCAACCCAAGACTTTCTGCAAAGGGCGCCGGGGAAATTACGCATGCTGGTACGGAACGAAGCCAATGCTGCCTCCTCGCTGAGTTCAAGGAGCCAGCGAGCAGTGTCGCTAGCTCCTTGAACTCAGCGGCTAAAAGCACTAACCTGATGCTGTCACCTGCAAAGTGCAGAGCCAAGAACCGGGCAATACAGTTTTTTCTTTTTCCTTTCCTTTCCTTTCTTTTCTAACCACACACAAAAGTTTGGGGCAGAGCACATTCAAAGCTGTCCTCCAGCTCTTGTGACCAGCGGGACACAGGTTCTACACGACCACGGTCTCCTCAGCCCCTTAGCGGTGAGATCTGGGAAGAAGGATGAAGGGGATCCCGAGCTGAAGGGTCCATAGGAAACTCTGGTTTGAGACAGCAGCCCCTAAGGATGTGCGTTACGTGCAGTGGGTCTCCTGTCTCCTCGAGGAGTGCCTTCATGCGGCCAGGGCAGATGGATCCACGCTCCACTGCTTTCAAGACTGGACGGAACCACAGGAGTATCTGCTTACTTCTGTACATAGTTCTGCCAGGTCACTGCGTGTTTGTTGGGGAGGAAACAGAGAAGGGGCTTCCCCTAAAGTATAGAAAAGCAGTCGCATTTCCGTGAACACAGCAGATGCCTGTGCACATTCAGGAACATCTGTTGGTGTCTGAGCTGAGCAGTTAGCTTTTTTATTCTCAACACGATAGTTCTTAACCCTCCATCATGGTATTTCCATGATCAAGAAAAAAAAAGGTGGCAGACTTTTTAAAATTTTAACTCGTTTTAACACACAGGACCGGGGACGACTCGCTGGCTAGCAAAAGGCACGAAGTTCAAACCCCACCATAAAAGGAAAAGCACCACATGCCCAGTCTAACAAGTGTGGGTCTGGGACCCAGCTTTTGAAACCAAACATGCCCTCTTACATGGCACTCTTGGACATGGGGAACACACTTCTCTACCCAGTACTAGAACAGCAAACCCATGGGCTGGAGAGATGGCTTAGAGGTTAATAGCACTGGCTGTTGTTCTTCCAGAAGTCCTGAGTTCAATTCCCAGCAACCACGTGGTGGCTCACAACCATCTATAATGTACTCACATAAAATATCTTTTTAAAAACAAAACAAAACAAAAAGCAGCCACCCCATAGGTGCCCTGAACATTCTATGATGAAAGGTTACCATGGCAATGAGCAGGCACACGCCTGGCCTTCTATTCCAACTGTGTCTCGGTGAGCAGAACAGTTCACGTCTGAGAGCAGTGGGCCAGGGCTTAGGTTGCTACCTAGACTCGTCTGAGATGGGAAACCTGAAGTGCTGCTGCAGAGGTACGGTCCCTCAGTCCAGAGGGCCCGGCTCAATCTCATGTGATGTATTTCCCTCAAATGTCCCCATAACCTCCCAAATGCTCTACCGGTTTTGAAGCTTTTCATATTAGTTGACGTGTGCCTATAACACCTCCCTCACTGTTTGGCTAGGATGGTTTGTTAGTAGTGTTAGAGTATTTCCTTGTTTTGTACAGTCTTTGAGGGAGGAGTCACAGGACAGCCTGGCCACATGGGAGACACTTGGCACTAACCTTAGTTCATACACACTCCACAAAAGGAGAATGACTAGAGAAACTCTGCCCCAGCCCGCGGGGCGGTGAACTAGGATCCGGGGGACCTGCAAGAGAGAACTGGAGGACATGGAACGCAAAGAACCACGGCTTGTCCATAGTCTGATTAAACCGCTATTTTAATTTTTTTCACATGGGGGTTATATACACATAGAGGCAGGATGTGGGGAGGGGGATGACGCAGGGGCATAGGTGTTCTCAGGGGGAGTACAAATATCTTCCAGGACAGGGTTTTGGCTGGGTGAAGAAGCAGGGCAGAACAGGTCACTATGACTCTGTCCCATAAGATCTGTGATTCATTCGTTCTTATCCAAGCTGGCACTTTCCACCAGGGCTACCTATCCATAAGGTCTATGACTACTTGTTCTTATCCAGGCTGGTAGTTTTCCATCAAGGCTACCAGTCCACAAGGTCTATAAGCTATCTGTTCTAAGGTCAGTGTTTTCCCACAGAGACCAAGACTTTGTGTTAGCAGGCATGTATGGCTGACTTAGGCTTATGACTGACTTAGGCCTTCAGTGTATAAGCAAAGCTGCTTCCAGCAAAACTCTTCTCAATGTACATGGTGAAACCCGAATCCAGGACTGAGGAGGCAGCTCAGCAGGGAACGAGCCTGTAGTAAGTCTGACAATTTATAACCCATGTAAAAGCCAAACAAAGCAGTGTCTGGGTGTAACCCACTGGGCCCCGCCTCTGCTGGGAGCTGAAGGGATAGCTAGCTCATCGCACGAGCATCGAACAAGAGAGAGCCAGTCTCAAAACCAAGGTGAGGTATGATGCTAGACACTGGCCTCTGAGTTCTGCACGCACACAACTGTGGGAATGTGTGTGTGTGTGCGCGCGCACACACACTCAAATTCAACATTAGATTATAACACTTAGATTTCAGAGTTAGAAACAGTGGGATTTCTGTGGAGACAGGCTGAGACTCTGGTGACGTGGCAGAGTGTCCTGAGCTCAGTGGGGTAGTTATTTAATGATGGATGCAGAGAGGGGCTTGGCTAGCATTCAGAAAGTGTCATGTGTGGGGGTCGCAGGCTGAGGCTAAGACAGGTCCATTCTGCTCCTGGCCTTTGGGACCTGGGAGGAGCAAGAGGATGCAGAACCGGGAGGTGCGACAACCACTCGCCCTCTGCCAAGCCTTGTCCAGACGCCCAGGGCAGTATCCATATGGCATAGGTACATAACTTCTCCCACCGAAACCCTGCCACTTCAGGCACATAGACAAGACCAAAATGGAAACTTCCCCATGGCATATAGCTAAAACGTAGGACAAAGGAAGGCTACTGGGAGCTACAAGGGGAAAACAGGTAATCTATAAAGGCAGGCACATTAGCAACAACAATGCAATACAAAACAAAAGCTAATTGTTCAATAGAAATCTTTTTAAAGCCAGAGTGCCTGGAGAAATGTATTCATGCTCTTAAATACCACAACTGCCAACCAACACTATTATACCCAGCACAATTATCTGCTAAAACTGAACAAGAAATGACCAAGCCCGCTCAGTCAACAGGTTTTCCAGCGCAGGAGTGAGGATTAAAAGAAAGATGATTAGAAAATATTGCAGCACGACCCCAGCCAGTCCTGAGGCTAAAGGCAGGTCTGTTTGTTCCCACTTTTCTTTGAAACCCTTTTAATTACATGCAAGTATTTAGGTCAGTTCTAGGTTGAGGAACCAGCAATACAATTGATACAGTCAAGGAACAAACAAGGCAATAAAGTCCCATTATCACCCCCTCATCACACACACACACACACACACACACACACACACACACACATATATATATATATATATATATATATATATATATATATATATATATAATGAATTTATAATCACTTAACCAGCTCTACAGAGGACACTGAGAGAAGAATAAGCACACCCAAGGGACCACAGGAGACCGCACTGAGACAGCCAATCAAAGGAGATCTGAGCAAACACCACAAACTCAACAAATGACAGAAATTAAGACCCAACTTTCAGCAATGATGTCTGAATGTCAATCTTAATTTTCCAATAGATGCTTTTTATTAAGGACAGTCACAGACTGTGTGCAATAAAACCCAGAGCCTGGCCTGAGGTGATGGCTCACCAGTTAGGAGCACTGAAGATCAGGGTTTGATCAACAGCAGCACGTCAGGAAACTCACAAGCAGCCGGGCGGTGGTGGCACACGCCTTTAATCCCAGCACTTGGGAGGCAGAGGCAGGCGGATTTCTGAGTTTGAGGCCAGGCTGGTCTACAGAGCGAGTTCCAGGACAGCCAAGACTACACAGAGAAACCCTGTCTTGAAAAACCAACAAAAAAGGAAACTCACAAGCACCTAACTTAGGGTTTCTATCACTGTGAAGAGACACCATGACCAAGGCAGCTCTTACAAAGGAAAACATTTAATTGGGACTGGCTTACAGTTCAGGGGTTCAGTCCATTGTCATCATGGTGGGAAGAATGGTAGCACACAGGTAGATAAGTTGCTGGAGAGGTAGCTGAGAGTTCTACATCTGGATCCCCAGGCATCGGGAAGAGAGAGCCACTAGGCCTGGCTTGAGCTTCTAAACCTCAAAGCCCACCCCCAGCGACACACTTCCTCCAATAAGGCCATACCTCCTAATGATGACACTCCCAGCGGGGACTACTTCATTAAAACCACCACAACCATTTAGCTCTAGCGCCATGTGATTCAACACCGCCTTCTGTATACACACTTGCACACATATATACACATACATGCATACACACACTCACACAAACACACATATACATACACATATACACACACACACACACACTTGTCACACTGTCTTCCGCTCTCCATCTTCTGGGAGACTCATTTCTTAATATCCCATGCGTGAGATGGAGTGGATCTGTGTTCTGTCCATTCGACATGAAAATCCTCCAGTTCAATCCCACACTGTCCCAAAACCCACAGTTTACCTTCACCCCCAAACAGCGATGTGTAAGTAATACTGTAAACACATCACTGGGTAATAAACATATCTTGAAACAGAGGGTACCTCAGAATATGCAGTTATTATATGCCAATCCAGATAGCATTTGACCGTAAATAACTATTACAACTTAGCCTACGTGAGACATCAGTGACTGTCTTGAACATCTTCTGTCTCCTAGGTTGCTGCATCCCAGATGAAGATATTCCTCAGAGGAAGAGACATTTTGTCCACGGAACACGGATCCGCTTGTGGCCCCCCAGCAGGGTGAAGCCCACGTATCCCAATGACGGTCTGTGGAAATTCAGTCCTCGAGTCCATTCACCGATCACGACTTCAGGCAGTCAGCATCCCTCACTAACATAGTTCAGGGGAAACCATAACTGTGTTAGGCCATGCCTTTCCTTATCTGACACCTGCAAATGTCAATACGGTTGCTAGCATGTCAGAAATGAACACCTACTTGCAACAACGTGTGCCCCAGGGTGGCCTTCAACTTCCAGATATCCTCCTGCCTCAGCTTCTCAAGTGCTGAGACTTTGTCACCGCAGCTGAGTTTCTAACACGGACTTTTCAGTGACATAGTCCGGCCCACAACATAATGTTCAGTCCAACTGCACCCGCTATCTTTGCTCTTGCTGGCTCAGTCAGTGCTGTTTAAGCCTGAGGGAAGTTGCCCACCCTCAGCAGTGTGTTCCTTCAGGTCACACTCCAGTCCTTCTAGTATCTTCCATTTCTATCTGGGGCTGCTCCCTGTCCTCCTTTCACACACTAAGGAGCTTGTCCCAGCAGTACGTGACACTGCGGGTGTCCCCAGCCACCTCCACCCCTTCCTGCTCTGTGTCCACACCACACACATTCCTGAGTCTTTCATCTTCAAGGCCAATGGACTGACAGCACTCTGCCTCTTACCAGTTTCCAACAGGGTCATCATGGAGGTGGTCCCCTGTGTCAGCTTGGAAGAGGAAGACGAAGATTCTGTCGTCGGGAAGGTAAGGTGTATCCTCCTTTGTCTGAGGTAGACACACGGTCTTGCTGGTTTACTCCTTTGGGAATCAAGTTCAGGCATTAAACTCCAGGCCCACAGAATTTCCTCTGTGGAGAAATGTCAAGTGCAAGTCTGTGGCCAACTGATGCCTGAGTTAAGGCGATCTCTGTGAATGTCAGTATCAGCTACCAACTACAGGCTGGCCCTGGTGTCTTCCTCAAGCGCTGTCTAACTTCCCTTTAGGGACCCTGTGTAGTTCTGGAAGTCAGCTTCAGCGTTCTTCTCTCTTGAAGGTTGCCAAGGGGAAAGGGTGTCAATGGGGGCAAGACTTGGTCTTGCAAAAAATTAGGGTTCCTCGTTAATATTAAGCCGTTTGCCCGCCTTAAGTCCAAAGTTACTTTACAGAGGCAGCTGACCCGCCTTGTCTGAGTTCCTCTGAAGCCAGAAACTGCAGTGTCTTGTCATTTATTTAGCACCTCATACCAAAACAGCTGGGGATTAAGTAGTCTTTGTTCTTATAGTTTTTTGTTTTGTTTTATTTTGGTTTTGTTTTGTTTTTACAATACTAGTGAAAGTCGCTCACTGGAAGAGAAAAGGGACACTTTGAAAGTGATTCTAATCTTTATTTCTAAGTTCTCCTCCAGAAATTCTGTCTCAAAAAAAAAATTCTCTCTCAGCTCTTCTCTTTGTCCTCAGCACTCACACATTGTTCAGAATACAGAGTCACATGGTAAAAATCTCACCACGAGTTTACACATACACTCAAACCATAAGCTGAATATAAGACGTTAACAAGCAACCACCACCCGGCTAATTTTAGGGATTCTTACACGAGCATCATTTAGAATTAAGAAATCATCTATTTGTCTATATGGCATCACTACAAGACAGTACATCTTCATTGATCTGCAGAAATCTGGCTCAAAAGGGTAGGCTAATACCTAGTGATAGTTATGTATGTTTATAGCAACAGGAGAAGCCAATTAATAGCAGGAATCTATCCTAAAATGTAGTCCCTTCAGCCTTGCCCAGAAGGGCTCATCCACCATAGTTTTACAGTCCACGGTGAAACCGCCTCAGGAAGATTACCTGCTGGTTTTTAGCCTCTCCTGGGTGGCTCCTGGCAGGATAGATCCCTCTTTTCCATGCAGTTTTATAATCATCACCATACTGAACAAGAGATCCGAGCCAAACCCGACTAGGTGTGATCTGACCCTCGTGTCATTTTTCTTTCCGTGACCACAGGTGGAATCCTCCGACAAGGAAAACAGTAAGTGTTGCAAACTCATTCAATCTTAAGTGTTAAATGGGGATAGAATTTCTTGCCTGTCTTGTTGAGTTGTCCATCCAGTGAAAATATAGGGTCGTCTACAATGGCTGGAAGCATCTTTATCCTTCTGGCGGTACAGACTTGTGTACAGGAGGGTTGGAAGGCAGCTGTGGCTGTGTCCAAGTGGAATAAACCCCCACGCTCCAAAGAAGGGAAAAACATAGTACACACTTCACATAAATTTTTACTCCTTCAATCCAAGAATAGCTTGACGTCGTGTCTCTGCAGTTTCACACATGCAGACATTTCGGAGCTAACTGGTCCCGGGCTCATGGTTCCGTGGGATCGGAGGCAAATGAGGAGCGGGGTTGGGCTGGGGGGGTTGAGGGGGATTGAGTCCCAGCGCTGATGCTCTAAGCTGCAGGCCCGTTATCAAGTCTCAGTCAGGGGATCCACAGTCACTGTGCCAGGGCATTTCAGCTCAGACAAACCCCGGTGAGAATCCACCCTACGGGGTTTCCAACACTGCCCGTCAATGGAAAGAAGCCACGGCGCTCACACAGTCCAGGGCTGCGGTGGCGCATTTAAAAGCACATGCAGAAGTCATTAATGTGACTTGCTCATAGCAGATTAGCACCACAGGGTTATTTGATTGTGGTTAATGAGACGACCATCTAAAGCCTTACAGACCCTCAAATTCCCTACCCAGCATGGCTAAGGGATCACGTGACAGAGAGCTCCAACTGGTTCTCACTCGCTGTACACCTATGACATACCTCAGCGAGGGAGCTGAGACACCACACGCTAAACTCTAAACGCTGAAATTGTCCCGTTGTGGGAACCTCACGCCAGCTGGTCAGCCACCATCTCCATGGATATTACCACACACTCTCTACAAAAGGACGACAGAAAACAGGAAAGTGCCACACCTTTGAGGTGGTTATTTGAAAATGACAGCATTCCATCGATTCCACAGTTATAAATTAAATAAAAAAAAAAAGATATAGCTGGGCAGTGGTGGCGCACGCCTTTAATCCCAGCACTTGGGAGGCAGAGGCAGGCGGATTTCTGAGTTCGAGGCCAGCCTGGTCTACAGAGTGAGTTCCAGGACAGCCAGGGCTACACAGAGAAACCCTGTCTTGAAAAAAAAAAAAAGAAGAAGATATAAATTTTCTAGAATTTAAATCCAATCTCCTAACAAAGGTCACTTTTTTTCCTGACCTGAAACTAACCGGGCTGACCATGGATCCGCAGAGATACAGAGACCTGCCTGCCTCTGCCTCCCTCCCGACGGCTAGAGTTCAGGGCACGCAATAGCGTGCCTGGCAAAGGTCACATTTTTGTCCAGTAAACAAATCCTTTAGGAAGGGAACATGTATACAGCAGCATATGTGGAACTGGGGAAGGAAAGATCTCAGAAGTCACCAAGGAGATAGTGACAGTCGAGCTCAGCGTCTCACTGCACAGAGGAGGCAAGGGACTGTGTCCCTGGAGCCCAGCTTATGCTTCAGGCTCATCACATTTAGACAGTTTCACACGCTGGGGTGCCCTCGGCTGGGGGTGGGGGACAAATTTCCTGTTCCCCGTTCCCTCCCATGCCTCTCCTTTGCCTTCTGTCCTTGCCCCGTGTCCATCCACTGATGCTCCTGCATGACACACTGGGCACCGGCAGCAGGGTACTGACAGCGTCTCCCTCTCTTCCCTAGTCACCCTGGAGGACTTGATGGATCCCTTCCATCCTCATAGAAGATCAGAAGAATCCATCGAATACCCGAGTAGGTTGACGGCATTTGTGTAGAACATAGAAACGTCCTCTAGCCGAGGCCGTTTCCAGTAGCATCGCGGTGTGACCGTGAGAACAGACATGTCGCACAGCACAGGCACACGCTGGCGGAATTTTAAATGTCACAGATACACCGTAGAGGCTCAGTCCCAAGCCATCTCTTTTCCTCAAGAGAAGACAATTTAGCACTAGCGAACAATAACACACTTGATGCAGACATCGCCCGTGAAACACCTCCCGTTTCTTTTGTTTGTATGTGTGTTGGTGTTCTGCCTGCATGCAGGTCTACCCACTACACGCACGCACACACACGGGGCCCACAGAGGCCCTCCGAGTCACATATCCCTTGGAACTTGCATTACAGACAGTTATGACGCATCACGTGGGCACCGGGAATTGAACCAGGGTCCTCTGGGAGAGCAGCCGGTGCTCTAACCACTGAGCTGTCTCTCCGCCACTGCCTCATGCCCATGACAGGTGTAGATTTTCTCCAGGCCACTTTCGAATCTCGACTAACCATGTGCCCATGTGGACAGAACCCTACTCACAGGACACAGCATGGTCTAATCTCCACGATGACACACACACACACACACACACACACCTTTTAAATTATGGGCCGATGCAAGAGGAATGCAAAATGGTGGGCACTGTGTTATCACTGACCGGCTTAGGCACGATGTAGATGAAGGAAGGGTGGGAGTTCCGTGCTGGCTCGATGTGGGCAGGCAACTTGATTTAGCTGCCAACTATGAATGAGGACCAGATGAGAATCACACCCAGACTCTGTACCCGCCTGAAGTAACGGCTTGGCATGTCTGTGTGTGGAACCCACGCGTTACAGCCCAAAGGGTGCCTCCAAGTAACGTCATACACGTTTGGTTGGTCGCCACACCGTCCCGATACCCACTTTTCCGGTATCACCCTCCCAAACCAAAATATGATTCCCCACAGGCTATGACTGGATATTACAGAAACGGTCTGGACACACTCTGGAAGCTTGCACTCATAAGCAGAATCCCACCATCGGACAGTCACTAGGTGCTCATAGAGTCTAAGGTATTATCCCGACTTTCACATGCACGCAGCTCTTTGAATGTCCCACGGGTCCCCAGGAAGGACAAGAACAGAATCACATCCCATTCACCCAGATCCTGTCTGCTCGGTGTGCTGCACTCTGTGGTCAAAGGAGAGGTGCCCACATAGCTCATTAATGAAGCTGGTATGTCACTGGCCTTCCGATTAGATCATAGCATGTGACTGGTCAGGATTGTCCCCTCTTAGCTCATCCACAGTCCCTTCCAGTCTCAGGACTCAGAATCCATTTCTCCCACTGCCACCTCATAAGCAGGGAGAGCTGAGCATGGCTCATCCTTGGCAGTGAGGCCCCTGGTAAGGCCACAGGCCACGCCCTATTGCAGCAGGAGCGTGAGACAGGAGGATGGACTTCAGAGTTGTTCCTGAGACCCAGGTTCCCTGAGCTCCCCGTGGTCAGGACAGAGGCAGCGTCTGGTTTTTGTGGGGTTTTCTGTTTTTGTTTTTTTGAGACAGAGTTTCTCTGTATAGCCTTGGCTGTCTTGGAACTCACTCTGTCAGAGGCAGCTTCTATGGCTTTCTGGCCATAGGACATCACCGCCCGACTGGTCCTTGGGTAAACACTGCTGATGGAATATTGTCTGTCACATTAAAACCGAAGGGAGCGCCAGGCAGTGGTGGCGCACGCCTTTAATCCCAGCACTTGGGAGGCAGAAGCAGGCAGATTTCTGAGTTCTAGCCTAGTCTACAGAGTGAGTTCCAGGACAGCCAGAGCTATACAGAGAAACCCTGTCTTGAAAAACCAAAAAAAAACAAACAAAACAAAACCAACCCAACCAAACAAACAAACAAACAAAAAACGAAGGGAGCCTTCAAAGGCACAGAAACGTACAACAGAAAGTTGTCATCGTTCCAGGGAAGGGAGGGGCATAAGTGCTTGACTCCAGCAAAGGACAAGCTTAGTATACAGATGGCGCATGATACCACGCTCCAAGTACCCACTGGTTCCCACGTAAAGCCTCAGAACAGAACTCTGAGAGCCTCAGTCAGATCTTTACATGGTCACTACTTGCATGTGCCCTCAGCCTTCCTTTCATATTGACAGGCATTCCGGTCCTATTCTGTGACAGCAGGACCCATGTCCTCATGTCTGCCCCCTCTCAGCTCAGCCCTAGGCAACCATCGCACTCCTTGAGAGCACCTCCCGAGCCGGGATGCAGATCACATGTGGAAAGCAGAAAGCCTCGCTCACCCTCAGCCTGTTCATCCCACTGGGCCCCCCCCATGGGTGCAAGTGTCTCCTCACTAGGACCAGCTTGAGGGATGAGAGTTGGCTCCTGAAGTGAGCGCCATGCTCCTCCCATCCCCAGGGGCTCTCTCCGCTTCTCAACAGGGCGCCCC